GTCAAGGACATCAACGATGAGAAGCCCAAGTTCGAGCAGAATAGCTATGCTGCCTACGTATCCGAGCGCACAGCTGTTGGAGAGAGCGTATTGCGGGTTAAGGCAATTGATAAGGATCTCAACTCACGTCTGGAGTATAGCATGCAGGGAGCGGTTAGGGCAACCACCAAGGCGGGCGTGAGCATAACCAATCGGAGCAGCTATCCCGTGCAGGAAGCCTTCCGTGTCGATAGCCAAAGCGGAGAGATCTTTGTGAACAGCAGTCTGCGTCACGATGTGGCTGCCATTATCATCTTCACAGTGGCCGTGCGGGATCTGAATGCTGAGGTGGATCCTGAGAAGCAAGTGGACACCACAGAGGTAACGGTGTATGTGCAGTCTTTCAAGGATAAGGATCCGGTCTTCAAAAATCCAGGATGGAGCAGCTCTCGCCCTGTTGTCAACATCAAGATCAAGGAGGAAATGCCCATAGGTAGCGCGCTGTTCATTCTACAAGCCGAGGATCCGGTGACTGAGCAGCCCATTACAAGCTTTGAACTGGTCGAACCAAAGGAGCTGGAATATTTCCAAATCTCCGAACGCACTGGCGAGGTCATATTGATGAAGCGTTTGGACTACGAAACCCTGGCGGAGTCGGGCAGCGCAGAGTTTGATCTGCAGGTGCGCGCGAATAGCGCCGATCGTCAGCGCAGCACAATCAGCCGGGTGAACATCACGGTGGAGAATGTGAATGATAACAGTCCGATCTTTGAGCAAAGCTCTTATCATGCCACCATCATTGAGAACAAGGGCCATCCGGAGCGTGTGCTGCAAGTGAGGGCCCAGGATAAGGATGCGGCGCTTAATGCGCGGGATGAGCGTTTGGGCTATCATAGGATCGTTTACTCCCTGCAAGGCGAATATGCAATGCTCTTCGAGATCAACAACCTGACCGGGCAGATCATTGTAGCTCGCAATCAGACCATTGATCGCGAGCGCACGCCCACCATTCGACTGCAAGTAAAGGCGGAGGACTCGCCCGGCAAACCCACCGATGCCAAACAGAGCATTGTCGAGCTGCTGATCGATGTGCTGGATGTGAACGATAATGCGCCAGAGTTTACCAAGAAGCTCTACAGCGCTGTCATACCGGAGAATGCGCTGAAAATGGAGAATGTCTTGCAAGTGAACGCGACTGATGCGGATGAAGGACCTGGCGGCGAGATACGCTACGAGCTGGTCAATGAGGGCGACGCCAACGGGCTGTTTAGTATTAATGCGCAGAGCGGTCTGCTGACGACGCGTCGCAATCTAACGGGCAAGGGACGCGCCGATGCCTATGTGCTGATTGTGCGCGCCCAGGACAATGGCAACCAGGTGCCCAAGCAGCCCACGCTCTCCTCGGATGTCGAGGTGCGCATTTTCATCGGGGATGTGAGCGCCAATGATGGTGTGCCATTCTTTGTGGCGCCGCGAGTGGGTCAAATGGCAAATGTGACAGAGGTGGGTCTCGCAGAAAAACCTTAAATTGAAAGATGTTCCAACTTTTAATCTCCTTACAGAATGCTGCCATTGGCGCACCGGTTTTCCAAGTGATTGCCAGCGATCCCGATGATGAGAACACGCCCTCCGGCACAATATCCTACCGCATTTTGCCAGATACGCCCGACGCTGAGGTGTTTGCCATTGACACTCACACCGGGCTGATAACAACACGTGAGCAGCTGGATCGGGAGGAGAAATCCATGTACAAGGTGCTGTTGGAGGTCAGCGATAATGGGCAGCCCAAGCAGTCGGTGACGCGCATCTTAAAGATTGAAGTGCTCGACATGGATGATCATGAGCCCAGATTTGCCAGAGAAATTGTAAGTCAGAACACAAGTTAACATCCATTTGGACTCTAAGTTAAAAATTTGACCAGGATGCGGGTCCCATAACCATGTCCGTGAAGGAGGAGCAGCCAGCGGGCACCGTTGTGGGCAACTTTAGCGCCATTGACGAGGACATTGGCGAGAATGCGGCCATCGACTATGTCATTATCGAGGGCAACAACGAGCAGATCTTTGCCATTGAGCGCAACAACAACAGCGTGGCCATATTGAAGACCACCCAAGCTATCGATCGGGAGCTGGTCGAATCCTTTACGCTGACTATTAAGTGCCTGAAGCTGGGCGAGCCAGCTTTCAGGTACATTGGCGATCCCTATGATCGCCAGGATCCTTCGCATCTGCGCATTACCATAAAGATTCTGGACATTGACGACAATTTGCCGCTGTTTGAGAATCCGGACGCTACTGTCGGCATACGCATCAATGTGCCCATTGACACTGTGATTACCACGCTGCGTGCCAGCGATGCGGATGCTGAAGCTGCGCCCATAGCGCTGTCCATTGTGAACGTGACCTTTGTGCCGCAGTTCTACAAGCGCAGCCGCAAACTGGCCACGGGCAACTTGCAGACGCTCTTTACGCTGAACAATCACACTGGGGAGCTGCGCACGGGTGGCTCCTTTGCCGACTATGTGGATGGATACTTCCTGATGCGCGTGTGCGCCAACAATTCGGCCGAGGCCAAACGCCAGACGCACAGCAACATCAAGGTGTTTGTCATACGCGACAAGTCGCTACTGAAGTTCGTCTTTGCCCGTCCGCCCAACGAGATACAGCACAATATACGGCCATTCCAGGAGCAGCTGCAGCAAAAGCTCAAGCCGCTAGGCCTGGAGCTGCACGTGCTGGACACACAGGTCTTTACGCGTGCCGACATGAGTCTGGACTTTACGGCGACCAGCTCCTGTTTCCAAATGTTTCGCAATGGCGCCGCTTTGTCACTAAAGGAGATGCAAAAGCTGATGAACTCCAAGGAGCTGCGGCACGAGCTCATCGACATCTATGCGGCATATGGCGTCAGTGACCTGGAGTCCTGTTCGGTGCGACGCACCCACACGGCCGCCCTCTTCGGCAATGTACTGATGTCTGCAGGCGCTTGGCTGGTTATTCTGGCGGCGCTTATAGGCGTGGCCGCGCTGGTCGCCCTCTGCACAGCCTGCTGCCTGAAGAAGAAGTGAGTGTCCTAGTTTCTGTCTGGTTTCCATTGTTTAATGAAAATACCTTGTATACAGATTCAAGCGGCACAGCAAACGCAGCCTGCAAGCAAGTCTGCGTACGCCCACAGAGCATACGCCCACCTCGTACAGCTACTCGATGCCCGCCGTGCTCTACTCGGAGCCCATCTATGGACCCTTGTAGCCTCAGCTAATATTCTGCACAGCCAGGAACAGCCAATGGCAATGCTGAATCATAATTCTAGTGTAATCTAGTGCTCAACACTCAAGACTTAAGCCCCATCTGCACCATCTGACAACAGATTTATCCAATCTGCGAGTTATTCTCTATGGCCAGAGCAGATCAGGTGCACATGAGGCTTGGGCAATGTAGCTGGCCGCGCCAGTTGGCCAAAACAGTCCATACAAGCATAAGCATACTATGCACGTGATCTAGTATGTACATAATACACCTATGTAGAGTATAGAAGAGTATAGAGTATGCGAATCTAATTTAAACTGTATAAAGTCGAAAATGAAAACTTTTAGCTTTAAGTTCTCATATAGAAAGTCATTTTATGTGTCATCTGCGCAGAAAGGGCCGAGTACCCCATTCGAGTACTCCAGCTTTGAGTAGAGTTCTTTTTTTTTGCAACGCATGAAATAATTTTGTTTTATTTTAGTAAAAATAAATGGCATTTACCTATATATTTATCTTATCGTTATTTGTCTAGCAAATGCATAACAAGTGCAAAATAAATATTACTTAAAATGCAGCCTGATTTTCAGCAGGAAGTTTCACATCCTGACGCTAAGCACTTTTGCTTGTGAAACTAAAACAAATTATATGCATAACATATATATTTGCCACTTACCCAAACAAGGTGCATATGTTTGATGCCATTAAGGTAAAAATATGTATTTAGTTTTCGAATGTGAACATGTGTGCAAATAAATTGTATCTACAACAAAATACACGAATACCTTAGTCACATTCCATGAACTATGACGGGGCATGCACAGTGATATGGGCCACAGCAAAAATGTAAGTCAACAAAAATTAAACTAAACACAAAGGCTTATGGCTAAAAGTAGACTCTCGAGTCTCTCATCAATTTGGCTTGCCCAATATATGGGCCGACTAGGGAATATCCTGAATGCAGCTCGAGTAACGCGCTCGTTTGAAGTAATAAAGATAAATTTAAAAAATAAAGGTTCGTTGGCAGGGTTCAAACTCGCAACTGACCGCATTACTTGCTGACGACTTCACAAATACATTATACCCTTTTTACCCATTTTTAATGGGTTGAGGGTATAAATATGCCACCTATAGCATCACGGCTTTGAAAAGTTGATATTAATAAAAGAAGTACTTAGCAGACTGCCAACCACCCAAATCGAACTACCTGCTTGGCCAAGATATACCCTCTTACTGCCTTAACAATGACGAGGTATTATAGCGCTTGACTTTGCAGGCGCAGAGCCACTTCAGAGCTTCTCAGGGATCGATATTGAAGCAAAATATTAAAAAAAAATTCAAATAAAAATAAAACCAATTGAATGATGTGAACAGTGTTGCACCGCACCCCTTAGCCAGTGCTTTGCCCCACACCCTCCTCACTTAAAATGGTTTGATCGGCATTCGAATGCATCGATCCGTTCATATATACTTTGTAGCCTACCATATTGCAGAGGCGACTGCACTTAATTTATATCTATAAAATAAACAATACATGTTTCATGCCATGGCTGCGGATCGTCGGGAGATAAGTCATTCAGTTAGTCGGGCAACTAAAAGATCTAGTTATGATTCGAGTTTTGGGCTAGTAGACGGATCTTATCGATTTCTATTGTAGATGTAGATAATTATCAACAATGTTAATAGAAAACTCTAGTTGCCTTTTGGGAACCCCCAGCTTTTATCGTCAAAAAAGTTGAAAACATTCAAATTGCAGAGCTGTTGTATATTAATTATAGCTTATGTTTTCTTGGAACCACTCGAATAGATACGGATATATACTGTTAAAACTAACCTAATTCTTTTGATTACTGTTCATAAAGAAGTACTCAATATTGTTTTTTTTTATGCCATGACTCGTCGGTTGTCTTTGGGCTTACAATCTACCATCCATATCTCTCAGCACTATAATAACTGATAAGTCAGCCTCGACCTGTCCGGTGATGTTGAAGTTGATCTTGTAGTAGGCCGGGCTTAGAGGTTTGGGCCATCCATCGCCAGTCGGAATGCACTTATCGAAAATGTAGGTGCCTTTGGGCCAGGGGTATGCTTTCTCGGGTTCGGGTATATTCGAGCACTGCTTCAGCTCCTTGTAGACATTGTCCTTGTAAAAGGTTTCGGCAAAGCTTTTAAATCCCTGCTTCGGAATTTCGAAGGGCAAAAGCGTGTAATCTTTCCCGTTTACGCTGCGGTAAGATGTTGCCTCCACCTGGTCGATAAATAGAACTCGCACTTACAATTCATTACATTTTGAGATCACTTTTATATTGAAGCACTGACCATAAGCGTATCGTCCATATCGACTTTTACTATCATTTTGCCCATAAAAGTAGTGCCCTTTCGTCTTATATATCCAATCCTTGGCTCAGCCTCCAATTTCGATGGATCCGACGTTCTGAATTCTACCGATAATGGTTCGTAGATCCTGTCATACTGCAAACGGGATCAGTTGGCATTTGGCGGCATATCCTTTTCTGTATTAAACTCTGCATCGCTTACCCATTCATTGTGGCCATCTACGAGCAGCGGAAGCAATATCCATGCCACGGAGAGCGAAAGCAGCAGACCCGTATACATTTCCGATAACGTTTGACTATGGTTGTATCTGCAGTCAGATTATTTATATTTGCTGATTTTGTCATGAGTCCCATTCGTTTTGTGGGTTGTATCCATTAACCTTGACAGCAATTAAAATTATTAACACTGGCCCGACCTGACAATCTGACAGTTTTACCAGCTGTAAATATTACTAGGTGTTCATTTTTATACCCTGAACCTAATGAAAATGGGTTAAGCCGGTATAATGGTTTGTGAAAATGTTTGTATGTAACAGGCAGAAAGAAACATCTCCGAACCCAAAAAGTATATATATTCTTTATCAGCATCACAAGCCGAGTCGATCTAGCCATGTAAGTCTGTATATCTGCCCGCCTGTCCGTTTGTATAAACGCAGGGATCTCACAACCTATAAGAGCTAGGAATTAAAATGTTCAATGTGGGTCCTGCTAGTGCCCGCGCAGAACGACTTTCTATACCTTCACACGTTTCCAAGTAATCGATAAAAGTCGATATTGAAGTCCCTTCTTGAGCAAAATTGTTAAATAATAAGAGCTGCCAATTTAATTTAATTTTTAATTTTAATGCAATTGAATTTTTGAGAATATCCAAATATTCTATAGCACAAACACAAAAGCACAACACAAAACTTATTAAAGAAAATGTGTTTTGGCTGGCCTCATGTCAGCGGCAGCTGACATTACAATCATTATATGCAATAGACAAGAAGGGGAAAATCTATTATTTATATAGTGTAGCAGGCTGCTAGCGACACAACAGTAAAGCTGCACCTCCTATCGATAGCTAGCTGTTAAGCACTGTTCGATAACTAAGAATTAGAAAAGAATGTTAGAGAATTATAAAAGGTCTTGGAGTCAGTCTCAGCAGAGAAGCGAATAAAGAAGACGTGTTTTGGCCTTGCTGAAGTTAAAGACTTTTGAAATGCAACGGCGCCTACAATAGCAAGTAAGAGGTTCTAGTCGGGAGTTCCCGACTAGGGAATACCCTGAACCGTCCTATTCCAATACCAAATGCGGCTCGCGCTACGCGCTCTTTTGCTTTAGTAGTTATAAAGATAAATTTAAAATAATAAGTTCCCCTTGAAGGGTTCGAACTCGCAATAGATCACACTAATTATCGTCACGTCTACCAAGCAGCCACACCAATTATTAATTTCGATGAGAAAAACGAATTAAAATAACAGCACAGAAAACAATACAACTGCAATTGCTGTTGCAAAGCAGACGCGCATGAATGTGTGTGTGTTCATGTACACAGAAATTCTTGGAACTTGCGCTTGCTGACGCTGATACGAGGAAAGTCATAACGCGTTTTCATTAATAACGTCTGTGTTTCTATATGATGAAATTTTCTACAACAAATCTTAATGTGCCATCGAATATTTGGGTTTTCTCAAAAAGTCAATTGCGTTTGAATTGTGGCTTAAATTGGTGGGCAATTTAAGTTGGGCTATTAACTTGATATACAGATCTGCGGTGGTAGCGGGAAGGGAAGGTGGCGATAGCTATAAAATGAAAGACACTTGATATATATATACTATTTTAGAAGGAACATTCAAATTTATTGCTCTTATTATTTACTCAATTTGCTCAAAAAACAGGATGTCAAAAACGCGACAAGTTATCGAATATCGGAAACAAACTCGATTTGCGCGGGCACTAGAAGGGCCTACAGCTAAAATTTCAAGTCTCTAGCTTTTATAGGTTTAGATATCCATGCGTTCATACATACGGACAGACGGACGGACGGACAGACAGACAGACATAGCTAGATCGACTCGGCTATTGATGCTGATCAAGAATATATATACTTAATAGAGTCGGAGATGCTTCCTTCTGCCTGTTACATACATTTCCACAAATACATAATACCAATTTTCAATGGGTTCAGGGCATAAAAAACAGGAGAAGAAAAAGAAAAACCCATAAATAATAAATATTGTTAAAACTAATGTGCGGCACTCATTAGCCTCAGGCAACTGCGCAGTGGACGATGTGGCAAGTACAAGGGATGATGATGCTGGTAAATGAACTGCCACACGAACAGGCCAAAGGGTGCAACGTGTATGTGTGTGTGCGTGCACACACATATGAACTGATCAGGGGTTGTTGCTGTGTGCTCCTGTCTTAGTAGTTAGCTGTAGCTGCTGCCACATCTAACGAGTTATTTTTATAACTTTTTAAAACACAACAACAACTAAGGCAAATCAAGTGCGTCCGGGCTCAAGTAAATCAACGAGCAGTGGTTCACTTTTATGGGGGTTGTCTCTGGCTTTTGGTGTAATTACAACCATAGCCATTACCATGTTGAAACATTTCAAAGTACTTGTAGAGTATTGCAATTAGCATAAAACCCAACTGGCAGCAGTGGCAGCTATCAAATGTTGCCAAATCACATTCCACTTGAACATTGATTGATGATGGCCATCGTAAATCACACTTCAAACTCGAATGACAAACGCGCTTCCCTCTTTGTTTGCTGGCCAAACAATGACGGCGCCGCTAACTGCCACAGATCCAAGCTACACTAATCACCATTTAATGCTCATGTGATACATGGAGGGGTTGGCGCCACCCAGCTCCAAGCTCCAAGCTCCTAGCGCTCCCAACTGCACTGAACACCGCACACCCTGAAAAAAAGCCAGCACAGCTGCAGGTGTCCTGCGCAAAACAGTGTTAAACAAAAATGTAGCTAAACACACACATCAACTTTTTACCCTAGATTCATTTGGCAGACAGTTAGTCAGCCGAGGGCGGGGAGACGGGGCCGAACAAGCAGCCGGCCAGATGTCCAACTTTAACGTGCAAACAATGCGCACAATTAATGAGTGAGCCAGGACGAGGCTATCGCAGGGGAAGTCGCTCATTTCCTTAACATTTGCGGCAAAAACAATTTGTGAGAGGACCAACAGAGTAGACTAGAAAGTGATCGACTTATAAATGCCCTGTTTATTGAATATTGCCCAAAAAAGTCCTAGGGTAATTTAATTTCAAGCATCAAAAACTGTTTACTAGAAAGTAATTCCAATACTATGCAACTATAATATTGTGGTTTTCCCAAGAATCAATTAGCGAGCAGCTGCCTCATAGTACTAAAAAAAAGTCTTTTTAATTTGAGGTTCCAAAAGGAAACTATTGCCTATGTCACTCTAAAATGTATATAGAAAGAATATACCTTTGCCATGCCTAGCATTTCTAGGGTATTAAGACCTTGCGTGCCAATGCCATATATCTGACTAAATCATAACGGTCGCTTTCTGTCACTGCCGCAAACCCTGTCAGAGGTGCCATAAAAAGCGACTTAGGGCAAACACCCCGCGCCGACAGCAATTCAGTCGATTATAATTGCAGTTAACTACTTGCTAGGCTGCTGCTTTATTGTTTTTTTTTTTGGGTAAAAACTGCAGTTTTTCGCAATATTTTCTTTCTCTTTTTTTATAACGAGCCGCACAATGGAGGCCTAATCGCAGGATTTTCGCGCGTTTTTCGCTAAACCGGAAGTGGCATTAGAGCGCATAGCAAGCGAACGGAAGCGTTCGTTAATGCGGCTTTGGCACAAACTGCATTCAATGGCAAATACAGTCAATCAAGCGTTGTTTACATTAACAATAACTGGGCATGAAACCGTTGTTGTGCCGACATTTTAGCACCAGCCTTCAATTCAATTTATGCACTGCAAAAAACTAAAAAATAAAAAAAAAAAACTTAACAAATATCAACCATAAATTACAAATGTCAGATTCATTATGCACATGGCGCTGCATATTAATTAGACTGGCGCTCGTTCGTCCTTTACCCAAATATATTTATGACCACTTGATGAACTGCACCCAGAATTTGTATTTGGGGTTGCGAGCATGCTTTCGTCCTGGTTGCCCTCATTTGCATAACAATCAAGTCGTAGCTTGTGGTACAGCCTCAGCTCAGCTACTAGCGCTAATGCTGAGTGAAGGGCTAAAGGATCTCGGATCCTGGGGGTAGAACTAGCCGGCTCTAATGGTTTTCGTACACAGGCAGCGGGTGTGAAGTTGTAAAGTTTAATGTATTGTTTGTCTAACAGTTTATTCATTTGGAAAAGGAAATTTTGTTGTTATGTGATTGGAATATGAAATATGTATGCATGGGGTTGCAAACGGGAATGACACTTTTGGCGGGTTGCCAAACTCTAAATAGGTAAAATCTCCTCAAATTCATTGCGATACAACAGTTAAGGTAAAAGCAAAAGAGACGAAAGTCTTTCGTTTGCAAATAAGTAACAAACTTTGTTTGTAACCAAGTATTTTATGTCAATTTGATTCATGTGTATCTAATATGAGTTTTGATATACATGTGTTGGCATTAAAAAATACATAAATATAATATATAAATATATCTAAAGCTTACAGGATCTTTAATGGTGTCTTATTAAAAGACAAACGAATATAAATGCAAATTCTTTCCCCTTGTTCTTGAATATTAAATTTATTAAGACCTGCCCTATAAGCATAATATTCCCTATGAAAGTATTTTATCTCAATTCGATTCGTGTGTATCTAAACTGATTTTTGATTTACATGTGTTTACATTTTTTGCGTACCACTCTCGGCTGCTACAATGTGACACAAATCTGCTTAAATTTGACTAAAACCGCTCAGATCGGATTAAAATCGCAATCAAAACTTGCAGCACAGTTTACAGTTTCAACTCGCACACACACACACACACACACAGTCTAATGATTATCCTGAAAGGACGAGCATGCACACAAATGCGACAGATTGGCTTCCTCAGCTCGGCAACAAATGTAACAAAATACTCGAACGGCTGTTTGTTTATCCAATGTTTTTCGGTTAGATGAGCACACAACTCAAGGTAGGACAGCCGAGGACCTACATAAAAGTACCAGTAACACACACACACACACACACACATATATATATTTAGATACATATGCATGGCGTACCCCGAACGCTGTTGCAACACAAACAACACAACGTCACAGATTTCACAGATAAACCAATTCGAGCAGGGCAATGAATCGCTAAAAAGGTCGAGCAACTTGCTCGGCTCGACCCGTAAAAAAAAAAAGCAACAACAGCACCAGAGCGAATTTTGTTTGCCAAACGAAAAAGGGGTAAGCAAAAGGGGCACAAGGTACGATGCCGCACGTGTACCGCAAAAGGGTTAGAATTTTTTTTATACTTTATGGAAAAGTGTGTCAACGAAATGCATACCAGTTCGATGCTAAAAAGGCGTAAAACAATCAATTCGCCAAATAAAATTCGATTTGCGATTTTGCCATTTTGATATCGGAATCGGAACTGAAATGACAAATTGGCACGTTTATGCTTGAATACGGATTACACGAAATGTTCATAATTTATGCCCACATATGCCCATTTTTTTAAGACCTTCGATTCAGTTAGTTAATAAAGTATATAAATGATATTGGTATAACGATTTAAGGTATTTTAAGTCATTAAAGAAATACTCAGTAAACTTAGAAAAATAATTTGGTATATAAAGCTCACTGTTGACAAGTTATGAATATATAATACTTATAATATATATGTAAAAATGAAAATGTAAAAATCTACTTACCCACAAATTCACATTCACATATTTTTATCGACATATTAAAGTATAGATGAAATTCAAACATGAAAATAACTGAAAAATCAGAGTAAGTAAGAGTTAGAGTATGATCAGAGATAAGTTAAAAGAAGACATATAACTAAAGCATGAAAGCGAGACATAATGGGATTCGTGAGAATCGCAGAGTAGGGCGCTATTTAAAGGAAAATTTCTTTCAAGCGGCAAGAAAAATTATAAAAAAAGGTGAAGAAATAAAATTAATATTAACATAAGAAAATATAATATTATTATAATTTTATTTTATTAGCCCAAAAACTAAAATAGATTTTCTAAGAGAAATGACAGTTTTAAAGCCCTTTAAAATTGGAAAAACTTTTAAAATGAGTTGCAGCGTTGCTTTTATTTTATCGTGAAGTAAATAGGTTATATCTTACATTCCAGCCGGAAGCAAAGCTGTTGCTCAGCGAATCGTATATAAATTGTGCCCAAAGGACGTGCACTTGACGCATTCGCATTGTGTTTGCTCCTTGCACCGTGCTGGCAATTTGTTTCTATTTTGGTTTCCTTATCGTCTTCCGGCAATCGCCAAATTGTTTTGCCAGCCTCACAGAGCATTAGCATAGTCATATAGACAGCAGTCGGGGTGAAGCGGATAGAGCAGGGAGGGGGCTGTAGCTAGACGTACTCGTAATGCCGTTATTGATCCGCCGATAAGCATCTACAGCTACCCCGTAACACAACTGGCCATGGCCATGGATCAGCATGCAGGACGCTAATGATGCCAGCCCGATTGCCCGAGTCCTTTTGCTCCGTATACCGTCCCCCGTCCCGCGTCTTATGTGCTGGGCTGCCCTCATGCATCCCTCAGCGCCAGTTCTGTGGAATTGAATGCAGCTTAGCAGCTCGCCCGCTGCGTATTTGCGCCTTTGTGACGCACCAGCACAACGGAACAACGGCAATGTCCCGGCTATAATAATGATTATTGTTAAGATAAATCCGGACACCTTCAACAAAGCTGCGCCAAATGACAAACGCGTCGCTTGCCACAGCGGCTTAGTTCATAGGTCTCTGCTTTGGTGCCTTTAAATGCCTTGAGAGAAGTTGCACGCCACAATTCTGCATCTTGTAGCGTTCAAGTCACCCTTTTTTATGCTCTTGAGTGAAGGGTACTGTAATTTTGTTACGAAATTGGTAACGCGCGAAAGAAGACATTTCCGATTCCAGAGTGTATATATATTCCTTATCAGTATCAACAACCGCGACGCTATTCTCCTGTCTCTTATTATGCTCAGTAGTTAGTTCTCAGTATTTGATTGCAGGCAGCACTTTATCGGAATTGCCAGCATCGGACTACTATATCTTATAGCTGCTATAGGAATGGTCATGGTTTCTGTTTCCTGAAATATCTTCAACCTCCTCAGCAACTCAGCTTCCCTTGTCTCCTAATATGTCTGCAATTCCCTATGAAATCGGTCCACTTTGTCACATGGCTTCTGCAGGAACGATCGTGGGAAAACATGTCTTAGCCAAATTTCTACAAGGGTATTTAATCTACGGCGTGTCGGAGCCGTTCTTCTAGTTTTTTTTTGACGCCCGGGGCGCTTTTCACTTTTCTCGTAACGGAAAATGTCAGTCAGTCAGGCAGTCACTCAGTCAGTCAGTATTTCGACTCTTGCCGGTTCATTCAACTAAATAATTTGAGTGGCATTCATGCAGGTCCACTGCCACTTGGCTCATGTTTCAGGATTGTCGGCTGCTGCTGCTGTTGTTGTTCTTGTTGTTGTTGTTGTTGTTGTTGCTGCTGCTGTATATTTTAGGTATTGGTACATTCGTTTTGTACTCGTAATTCTGTGGCAGGTGACGGGCAATCTTCCATTGTTCGACTCACCCCATGTCGAATTGTAAGGGCGCAAAAATGCCCCCTACAATAAACAAGCTGCACACATTAATACACACACACACGCACACTCGCACACACACACAGAGCCATTCATTTTATGTGCACTGCAATATACAATATTTATTTGAATTTAAGTCTTTTGTTTGAAATCTGAAATCCGCACACAAATGCAGCTCAGGGTTGTTTGCTTTTGCTGCCCAGAAGGCAGCATTAACTAGACTTGCCTTGACTTTAACAATATCCATGTACATAAACAATAGTTTATTCGGGTTTTTCTTCATCAACTTTATTTAGCAAAAATAAATTGTAATAGTTTACATAAAATTCATCTTAACACGTAATGTATATAGTATATAGTAAACCTAACTTCAAAAATGACTAGCCCTCGTTTATCGCATTGCAATGTTAACCCAACCAAACTAACTAAGCCTGAAACTAAATCTTAGCTAACGCTTAAAACTCGTTAAGCATGTGTGTTAGTAATGGCTAGGCTGCTTTCTTAGTTAGATTGTGTTTATATAAATATGTATGGCAAGGTACATGGATGCTCTTACTAAATTTACATGGACAACCGATGTTATTATAAAGCAAATTGTATTAGCCATTAAAAGCAAAAAGTGCATTTCATAATATTTTCATTAAAAAATGCACTTTTAGTTTTAATAGTCCACTAGTGAGTGCCACAAACAAGCAACCCATTCCAGGCATGCGTGAATCAGAAGTGAATTTGCGAGTGCACTTCATTTGAACTCTGACATTAGGCTGCGCAAATTGATTTGTCGTTTGTGTTACCCACTAAATGAATTTAATCAAATCGATTATTGAGGCCAGCCTGCTTAGCATGGCCTCAGCAATCAATTTTGTGTAGACTTATTGCAAAATATCAACTGATTGTGAGCCACAGCGGCAGTGAGACCTGGAAATGTGAGCAAGTTGGCCAGCTGCTCTAAGCAAATGACTTTTGATATTTGGTTTAAGCAAAAGTGAGTCACTAGAGCAGACAATTAATTATTAATTATCATTTCCAGGTGGCAGTGTCGTTGTGGTCTGCACATTGTCGAACATATCACCCAGAGAAGACTGACACCATATAGATGCCCGCAAAACTATGCTATACCTGGTGGGTAAACTGTTTGTAGAGTAGTTGTTGATCCTCCTGGTACTCCTTCCAGGGCGGCGTTTGCGTATAGAAGCTGCTTTGCTGATGCAGACCCGGTTCTGACAACGGCGTTCCATTTGCAGCTGCCTCGAAGTTGCTGCGAAACAGATCGTATTTCTCCTGGGAAAACTGAGCTGAAGCTGTGGGCTGTGGACTAAGCTCCGGCTGCTGTTGCTGTTGTTGTTGGTAGTAGCGCATGCTGCTGCCCAGATCAAAGCCAGGTGGTTGTGCTGTCTGATAATCCACTCCCTGAGCTGGCTGATAGTGCATCGCTGGCGGCGTCTGATGATGCGGCCCATAGGGAAAGATGCGCCCGCTGCCGAACATGGGAAACGGCTGCGGATTCACAAAGAGCGCATCGAATAGCTCCTTGGTGATGCGTTCACCGCTCAGCGTAAAGTTCTGCAGCTTCTCCAAGTCGAGATTGATGGTGTTGCCGCTCTCCAGCACCTGCTCCAGCGCAAAGATGTAGTTGTGCGCAAAGCGCAGTATCTCGATCTTGGTCAGCTTGGTCTCCTCCGGCAGCGAGGGCAGCGTCACGCGCAGCCGTTCCAGCGCATCATTGAGCGTGTGCATCCGATTGCGCTCCCGATCGTTGGCTTTCATGCGTCGAAACTTCTTGATGCGCACCACCTGCAGAGGACTGCGCGACCGAGTGACACGATTTTTGCCGACGGCATATTTGCGTTTCGGACGCGGCGCATTCGGATCCTCCGGCGACTTGACCGGCGTGCTCGTCAGCTGCGGCTCAAAGGCGCCCGTCGTTGCGGCGCGACTGTTGAGGTGCTCCACCAGAGTGCGTCCACTGCGCGTGCTGTGATTGCTACTGTTGTCCAGCAGACCCACAAAGCCAGAAGTTGTCGCTGGTGGCGAATTCAGCTGCATATCCCAGGCGCCGGCATACATAAGCGGCGCTTGAGTTTGGCCCGGCGGCGTGCCGCTGGCATTGGCCGTGCTATTGTAGTGCTCCGCAAAGTCCAAACGACGCCGCGAGCTCGCATTCGCAATCGTCTCAAAGCTCTTCTCGTAGCCGCTATCGAATGAGGCATCATCGTCATCATCCTCGAACTCAAACGATTGCGTCGGATTGTAGGCGTTGTAGCAGGCGGACATGTTGAGCTCGGCGTGGGTAGCTGTGGTTGTCTCTAGCTGTAGCTTTAGCTGTATCTGTGCCTGTCTCTAAATGTCAAACCAGACGCATTACGCTCGTGTATGTGTTTTTCTTTTTTTTTAAGCCTTAACCGTTTCGCGTGCCCGCACCAACTAAAAGCTGAACAGGAGTGCGCACCGGTTTTATGTTCAGCCATTAGCACGGCAGAGCTGCCCAGTAAGCCCGCTGATTTAGGCGGCAACAACCCTCGGCGCATTGTCGTCGGTCGCGACGATGGCGGCGCCATGGCACAAATCCCAAAAGATATGCGCGCCGTGATTGCCGTTCGCTCTAGCCCAGGGGGTTGCTTTACCCACACACACAGACACGGACACACACACACGCGCACAAACACACGCACACCAGCAACTACCAGTGCCAGTTAAAACACGAGCATTTTTTACGCCTGAACGTAAGCCAATCGGAAGGATGAGTGCTCTGTCTGTCTGTCTGTCTATCTAGCTGGCCTCGTCTGGCCGCGAGGATCAGCGACAAAGTTCAAAGCGGCATGCACTTTCTCTTATCAGTCCGCCTTTGTCGCAACATTGATTGTGCCACATCTTGTGTCCACTTAATATCAATTGCAACTCGCAGCTCGCAACTCTTTCTTTTAAGCTTAAACCGCAATAATCATTGCGGGCTTACGCCTGTCGCTAAACGAATTACCGCCACGTGGCCGACACTTCTGTAAAGATGCCACAAATACTCCCGCCCAGGGCCCACGCGGCGGCACGTGCCACCGAATTGGGCTGGAGAGCTTGTGGCATGAGCCACTTCACAACTGGCTCAAGTGGCTGCATGTCTATAACGCGAAAGATACACACGAATGCGGTTGGGATTGCGGCTTTAAGTGGCTGCCGCTTGCCGCTTCCCAATTGCCACGTGCAGGTTTGTTATGATATGTGCTCCCACTGCGGGTAAATTGTTGACACGAGTGAGCACTTAATAAATTAATGCCAAAATGACACAATTTTGCATAATTTAAGGGGCAAAGGATGCTAATTGATCCAATTGCTGACAGTTGCTTGTATTTATGACACTTAAACAACCAAGTTCCGGACCTTACCATCTTGTAAGTAAGTTGAGGGCATACATACAAATCCATTAGAAAAACAAAATAAAATAGAACGGGGCTTTTCGGCACGACGACTATTTAAAAATCTAGTAGAGATATATGAATGTTGATTATACGGATATGTGAGGAGAATTCATACAACGAGGAGGATTCATTGCTGAATTCAGTCAAGTTTTTTTGAAACAAATAAAATCTCGTCGATATGAAAACTCATCTTTTGAGCGATTTTCTTTATAGAGCTATACGATATAGCAATTAGGTTAGATTTAGCTCATGTATGAAAAACATGCTAGAAGTTGTGAAAGCCAAGTTTGGTTGTTTTTATACAAGAACCTAATATTCAACCGATCTTTCCTATGGTAGCTATACGATATAGTGGATCGATATTGATAGGATTTTGCATTTATATAAGGGACATACTAAAACTATTAAATGCTGAGTTTGGCGCAGATATCTTTGAAAACAAAGAAGTTTTCCATACAAGAAGCTACTTCGCCCGAACATTCTTATGACAGCTACATAATTTAGTCCTGCAACAAGACGATAGCCTTAAAACTGAGAGACTTGTTTGCATAGATACAGACGGACGAACAGACAGATGTACAGACGGACATGATTATATAAACTCGGCTGTTGATGTTGATGGATTACTTTATGTGTTTGGAGGCGTCTCCTTCGATGCTTTCTAAGATATAGCTGTCCGATGGTGATAAGATTTGGCTCACATGTGAGAAACACATCGGAACTTATATATGGCAAGATTGGTGAAGATATCTTGACATATAAATAAGATTTTTAATACGTGTTTATTTGCGATCATTCCTACAGGAGCTCTCTGATATAGTGAGTCGATCTGGTCGATTTCGACATATATATGTTCAGAAAGACAGACCTATGCAGAGCTTCGTGACGATAGCTTTAAACCTAAGAGAGTAGACTGACAGACGGACGGACATTACTAAATTGACTCTGCTGGATACGAGTAATCAAGAATATATATATACTTTACGGACTCGGATATCTTTTTCTATACGTTCGTGACAAAATAATAATACCGCCTGTATCGATCATATTCATCAAAGGATAGTAAGGGCTTACGTATATCTACATTTCGCTATATTCAAATATCCCCCCCACTTGAAATCTCTTAAAAAAATTTTTAAATAAAAAATTGTTCTAATAAAATAAATATCGGAAGTAAGTAACTCACAAAAACTCCGTAGATGTGTGATCGTCATGTGAGTTTTATCCTGCGGATTTTAGTCTTAGAGAGCCAATAGTATTCCTATAATGAAATTGTCTCTGACCTCCTTTAAGCTGTTTTTACACTGTTTATAGAGTATTGCGCGGTCAATTTTTCCCGATTTTAACTTGTGTTTTCAGCTAACTTTGTTAATTAAAATATTAATTTATACATTAAAATGTAGATGTCAATATTAGTTATTGTTTATTTACATTTTTGGTCACACATTTAATACATCTTGAGATTCCCAGAGAGACGCCAGAAAACAGTTGATTATTATTGAATTTTGTCAATGGTTTTTAGGATTATCAACGCGGCCTCTAGTCGGATTTATGGTTTTTAACACAATAATAATGTTAGCATCAAATTCACACCACTCGACACGTGTCCGGCGTGGTGTTTGTTGTTTTTGTTGTCAATTTTGTTATTGGTTACGCCCGAAACAGCTCAAGTGGCAGCCGCCGACCGGACGCGTGTGGCTAATTGAGGTTTTGGAGTAAGCATAATGCGTATCAATTATACAGTTAATTGAAGTGTGAGCGCTTATTAGGTTTGCATGGAAGTATGTGAATTATTATGGATGCTGCATTAATTTTCTCAACAATTGTCGCCCAAGACTCATGCTCACGCTGGCTGGCACACACACACTCACACTAACACACCCGGTTTAAAGAGCCTCGAGGCAGCGTCACAGTCGCGTTAACCAAATAAAAGCCAACATGGCTTAGTCCCTGTCTGCGGACTTCTGTACATATATAATTTCATCAAACATCCTTACACAGTCCGAGCCAAAGCAAATACACATACACATCAAATATATGCCCCGGGCAAATTGCATTCTAACAAGCGACGCAAATTCAATTTTCCAAGCTGCCTGTGTGCCCAATCTCCCTGCCCTGCTGTGCGTGTACGTACGTGCGTGTGTATGGGTGTGTGTTTGTGTGTGCGGCATGCAACCCCGACTGCATTCGTTTCAGGCACGTAGCCCCGGGCGAAGCGAGAGACCAAAACAGCACCAGCTAAGCAAATGTCTGTCATCTTCAGAAGGGAACAACTTCCTCTTCATAGAGTGGATCCAATTCCGATGGAACAACCATCACGGGAAAACGGGTCACAGTCACAGGCACTGGCGATACGGACGACGACAGCGAGTCCGAGGAGAGCTCTATTACATCCGTATCGCCGGTCACATGCTTGGCCTTTTGTGACTTTAAATGCATGGATTTGCTCTTCGCTTGGCTCCACTTGTGACCACGTCGTCGTCGTTGCAACGAGGCTGGACGCGACGTCTCCTCGGGATCGGTTGAGGTCGAGGAGTCGGAAGTAACGTGGTTGAAGCCCTTGAATTGTTTAAAGCGCGGCTTGGCCAACATTACTCGCGTCGACGGTGCAGCCGAATCGGATGTTATATGCACGAAACGCTTCCTACTTTTGCTCATGCCGCTATGCAGCTCCGATGTCGGCGTCGAGGCGTTGCTGTCTTCGGTCTGGGTGTGGCTTTGCTTGCTGCTCGACGTGGGTCTACTGCGATCACGTTGCATTCTCTTTTCGCGATAGTAGTCAAGAAAATTGGTGCGCTTCACACGCACCCGAAGTCCGCGTAGCTTTTCAATGTCCTGCAACGTGAGCATGTCCAGACGCACCTCAGCCTGGCGCGTCAAACATTCCTCGACTAGACGTGCATTAACTTTGCTTATTGCCGTGTGTACAGAACCTTCGGGAGCCCCCTCAGTTTGGTTGTGCTCATCAATGTGGGTTTCGAGACTTGGTTCATGCTTGGTTTTGATTCGTTTGCTTGACGATTCCTCGGGGTGTTTCTTTGCTGGTTCCGCCTGTACCTCCTGTGTCCCTGCAGACGGCAGTGATTTGGCGGTTGCCTCATCCCTGGTCAGAAACTTTCCTCTGAGCTGCAACACTTCTGTCTCCATTGTAAAATCAGACGTTGGCGCCGGCGGGGGCGTTAACTCTTTACTTACGCCAGATACAGCTTCAGATTGTCCCTCGTCGAACTCGTTAGCGTCGTGCATGGCCATCGTAGATGTTCCAGACTGCAAACTGTCCGCTTCACTGTTGCAACGGCTGCTGGTACGCGTTGCTCTGCAGAATTCCATTGATGTTTCCGACTTCTCGAGTGCCCGTGACTGGGTATTACTATCGGCTGTTGTTGCTGTTGTGCTCCGTATCAGGCCCTGCAAGCTCCTGAACTTGCTCAGCAGCGTATTACTCTCCATAAGCACATTGTCATCATTTTCTACGTTTATCTGCTCGTCCTTCTCGAAGCTCCAAATGTCAGCGAAGGCTTTAAAGCCGCTTGTTTCGTTTGTGTACTTGGCCTGCGACTGCAGCAGTTCACCAAATGAACGCCTCTGCTGGATTGGTTCCTCCGGCGGCGGCTGCGACGTCGTAGCCTCTGCCGCCGTTTGGGGCTCTTCTGATGCTGGTGGTGGCGGTGGTTCCGCTGTCAACTCGGCAACAGCAGTTGCTGTAGGAGCTGCAGGCGAACGACGGCCACTGCGCATGGTCCTATCCATGTCGGAGATCATGGCATTGGCCATTACTGCAGCGGCGCGAACGCGAGTGCGTCGCCCTGTGCCTGTATAATAGGCTTCTGATTCGTCAGATTCCTGTTCCTCCTCCTCTTCATCTTCTGAGACTACTGAAAGTAAAAGTAGGATCATCTAGTTAATCACAAAAGATTATATTTAGCTTCATGTTTACCCTCCTCCCAGAACTTGGTCGGTATTCGGCTGCGTTTTCTATCTTTCTCTGCCTTTTCGCGTGCTGCTTTTTGCGCAGCCTCTTCATCTTCAATGCTCAATTCAACCTCCGCTTCGGCTGTGCTGACGGCGTTCTCGTAACCCTCTTCGATGGTGCCATAGTCTAATTGAGGCCGATTTTTGTACTTTTCATAATCGATTTTCAAAAACTTCAGACCATCATTGGCCTCGGCCATATTTAGAGCCACAAATTTTCGCTTTAGATCTGCGCTCTTCAGCAGGCTGCTGCAGCGTTGGTGCAAAGTGTTCCATTCTAGCGCCCAGGAATAGCGTTTGTTGCGTGGTTGGAAGGCCACTGTCAGGAGATCCTTGAGTATGCTGCGCGGCAGGCGCAGAGTTTGCAGCGCTTTATAGATAGGATCATAGTCGGCCACGGGCGCATTGTGATTTGTGATGGCAACAATTTCATCGACATCTATCGTTGAACTCAACAGCTCATATTTGATGTGATCCACTTTCTCGGCACGTGCCGCCGCTCTGCTGGAGACTACTTCATCCTCGTCCTTGCGTTTCTTTTTGATGCGCGAACAGCGTTTCACCTCACAGTAACTACTGCGTGTTGGATGCAAATAGAATGCAGTTAACCAAAACTCGGCCTCCATGAAGCCATGCTCCGTAAACACCTTGGCCAAATCGGCATAGTTGTCAGAGAGCTTATGCTCCAGATTCAGCATAAATTGTGTGGTCAGTCCAGGATGATAGCGCCAGACTTCAATTGTGTTGAGCTTCTGGCCAATTATCTTCAGCAGCAGTGCAATCTTGGCGAACTGCCAGCCCCTGAATTTCTGCAACACGAAAGACAGATTTACATTGATTTTGTCAGGACGAACAACAGTCAACAACTTACACGCTGTGCCAGCAAATTATATACAAACTCCAGCACCTCCTCATTGTTGGGCACATTCTGAAAGACCGGATCTATTTGCCTGTCGAGCTCCTCGTCAACATCCAGCAACGGCTTCTCATCATCGTCGCAGTTCTTATAGTTTCCAATATTACTCGCACGATTGCCCTTGCAGATCTGCTGTTGGTAATTCAGATTCAGATTTACTGTGTGTGGCAAGGCGTGACTATTGCGCTGCGCATCTAGCTTCTGCAGCTCATTGAGCAGAAAACGCTCGCTGTTCTCGCGCTCCTCTACATAGCGATGCATCAGCACCTTGAACTGCGCCATGTGCGTCATGAAATCATGCTCATTGAGTGCCATCAGTTCCAGCAGCTGGTTGCCCAGCACATAGCTGGTGTAGGCCTCCAGCATAACAGCGAATGAGGTGACCAGGTTCAAATTGAAGTTTTTAAACACAATGTATTCAAAGAACCCATCCTTGCCCAG